GCGGAACCCCGCGGGACCATTTGGAGTGACTTGTTTTTGATCGAATTGTCGCTGCCCCAGAGCCTGGGCGCAGGACGGCTCAGCTCTTCTGATTCGTCATCTTGGGTGCGCGTTTCCCCGTCCTCCTCCTCCACCTCCTCCTCCTCCCCTTCGCCTTTCCTCTTCCTTTCTCCTCCTCCTTCATCATCCCTCTCCCCCCCCCCATTCCTCCTCCTCCAACTCCTCCTCGACCATCTCGTCCTCCACCACCGCCACCCCACCGCCCACACCCCCTCCCCTCCCCCCCGAATCCTCCTCCCCAGGAGGGTGGCAGGGGAAGCGCCCTAGACCGCCCGCGGCCAGAGGGCTGGTGGATTTCTCTTGGAACCTCGGCAAGGACAGCGAGGCCCGCCTTCTTGATCCCCTCCTCCTCCTCCGACTCCCCCTTCTGCCTCGACCTTCCTGCTGCTGCTGCTGCTCCTCCTCATCTCCTCTCTGCTGCTGCTGCTGCTGCTGCTGCTTCCTTCTCCTCCTTCTCCTCCTCCCCCTCCACCCTCCCTCCCTCCCTCTTCCCTGTCCCCCCTCCCCCCTCCTCCTCCTCCTCCTCCTCCTCCTCCTCTCCTCCTCCTCCACCTCCTCCTCCACCTCCTCCCCCTCCTCCTCCTCTTCCTCATCCTCCTCCCCCTCCTCCTCTGCTCCTTCCGCGGTCTCGGCCGCTTGGGAGCAGCTGCAGGCCGACGACCCCGAGCGGGCCCGCAAGTTGCGCGCGGAGTACACCACCGCGCGCAACTTCGGCAGTTTCGAGCAGGTCGCGCGCCAAGTGATGCGGGAGAGGGAGCACGTCGCCGAGCGGCGGGACATGGAGCTGAACCACGACTGGTTCGCAAGGACGCTGAAGGCGGGCGGGTGCAGCTCGCAGGAGGCGGAGACGTGCTGGCGCGACAAGGCATCGACTACTACTACTACTACTACTACTACTACTACTACTACTGCTACTACTACTACTACTACAACTACTACTACTACTGCTACTACCTCTGCTTCTATTCTTACGACTCAGACTACTACGTCACTTACTTCTACTACTACTGACGTTCATAGTAATACTACGAGGGCTGCTACTTCGACTACCACTTCACTGCTCCTTCTTATTCTTCTTCTCCTGCTACTACTACGACTACTATTACTACTCCTGCTGCCACTACTACTGTTACTACTACTACTACTACTGCTACTGCTACGAATGCTACTACTGTTACAACTAGTGGCCCGTCTTATACTACTAATGCTGCTATCACGACGCCTAAGAGTACGGCTACGACTACGACTACGGCTACTACGACTACGACTACGACGTGACGGCGGCGACTATACCTACTACTACTACTACTGCGACTACTGCGACTGCTACTATTGCTACGACTTTGGCCACTACCATTTTTACTATGACTACTATTGCTACTACTACCACAACTAGTACTGAAACTACTACTGCTACTACTACTGCTACGACTACCACTACCACTGCCACTGCTCCCACAGCTCCCAGGACTCCTCCGTCTCCCCTGCCCTGGTCCATGTCCATGTCGCCTCGTCTGGTTATTCTTCGTTTCCTCCTCCTCCTTTCCATCCTCCCCATCCTTCCTCCGGCTCCCGACGAAGAGGCTGCCTCCTCTCTCTTGCCTCCTTTTCCATCTCCCCCACCCTCCCCCCCCCCCCCCCCCCCCCCCCCCGCCTCCCCATCACCGCTCCGCCCCCCCCCCGAGCCCAGGTCGACGAGTTCGGCAATCGGCTGCAGGAGATTCGCGTGGACGGCGAGAAGTGTCTCGTCTTGGAGGGCATGCGCAGCAGAGCGTCCCTGGACAAAGTCAGAGTGAAGGTTGTCGGCACGGGCAAGTGCAGGCCGTGCGACGCCGCCGAGGCCAGCGCCATCTTCGGCGCGCCGCTCCGCGGTGACTTGCGGTCGGCGCCGGCGGCGGGGTCCGACGGGGGCAGGGCCAGCGCCCGCGGCCGCTCGCGTGAGCGGCGCGCGGCGTCGTCGCTGCGCAGCCGCAGCGGCCGCCGCGGCCGCAGCCGACCTTCGCCGCTCGGCGGGCTCGGCAGCGACTCGGGGCGTGCGTCGGCGCGTCGTCAGCCGAGCGACTCGCCGCCCGCGATCTCTCCTCGCGGCGCCTCCGACGGCTCGGAGTCCCCGCCAGGGTCCGACGACGTCTGCTTCGACGGCGTCGCCCGGCCGCCGAGGGGGGCCCTCTCTCGCGCGGGCGCCGCGAGCGTGGGCGACAGGAGCCATCGGTCCAGGAATGCGTTCGGCGGGTCTGGCAGGAAGGGATCAGCAGGTCTCACTCGCGAGGAGGCGTCCCAGATGTCCCTCGAGCAGCTGGTGCTCAGCCAGGAGCAGCGCCTCGCCGAACTCCCCGACCGCTTCGAGGAGACCGTCGACATGTGGAACGCCCAGGATTGGATCGCGGACTTCTTGGACAACCTGGTGGCTCTCGAGCAGGCTCCGTAACGGGTCCCACTGCGAACTAGGGCTGGATGGTGAGGAATGTATGATGGCCCACATGGCTGATCTCACGCGTGTCTCGATTGCGCGCCCAGGCGGCCTGGGCGCGCAATCGAGACGCGTTGGGGCAGCTGGCCAATGTAAAACCGTCTGTGCGACGCCCGAGTTTACTTCCCATTGGGGAGCTCATGTAGCTGCTCCGTGCAACTGCGTGGGCTTGCCTGGGGAAGTGGTCTTGGAAGTCTAGGGGGGCCGCGGCCGTCCTAGGGCCAGGTCGCACCTTGGCGGTGGGCGGGGGGGGGGGGGATCGTCAGTTAGCGCCCGCTGCTCGCAGGCTGATGGCGTCGGCGTGGTCGACTGGCTGAAGTTGCAAATCAAGGAGATCGGACACGAGGAGCCTCGGACACAACTGAGCAGGATGGGGGGGATGATGAGGAGGAGGAGCGGGGCAGTGGTGGTGGGGTTCACCTTGAGTTGCACCCCCCCTCAGTTCCCCGCTCCTCCGCCTCCTCGGCATCCCCCCTGCTATGGCACTTCGTCCTTATGTCCCCAGCCCCTCGATCGCCACGTAGCGCTGCTCCACCGCTTGTTGTGCCAATGCGTGGCCTACCTCTTTCGCAATGCCCCCTCCTCCACCTCCGTTCGCCGGCCGCCTCCTTCGTCCTTGAGCTGCGTATCACCGTGCCCCCATCCAGCCTCGCCTAGCCCCTTTTCGCGTCGGGTTGCCCAGCCCTTCATGGTCGTCGTCTCGCTTTGAGCGCCCCCCTCCCCCCCTCCCCTGGCCCGCGTCCTCGAGCCGCATCTTCCGTTCCCGAACTGCCTCCTCGCGTTCCTCCATCGCTGGCCGTTCCGCTGGCCCCTCGTTCAGTCGCGTCCAGCCACGTGCCCGTCGACCTCGTGCCCCCCTCCACGTTCGCGTTCTCGTAATGCTGCTGCAGATGCTGCTGCATATCGGATGGCCCGCCCGCCTGGTGAAGGATCGCGTGGCTCGCCTCAAGCTCCCCGACTGCGCGACGCGGTTGGAGAGGGCCAGGGACGCGGTCCTGCGCATCAAGGAGGCCTCCGAGAAGTGGGAGGACGGCTTGGACTTCTCGAAGGAGAAGGAGCACATCATGCGGCGCGTCAAGGAGTGGCGCGATGAGGTGAACCGGTTCCGTCGGCACGAGAGTGGGCTGCAGGCCGTTGTGGGCCACCAATGGAGGGGGGCCCTCGCCTTGTCAGTTGCCCCCCTATTGTTCTAGTAGTTGGCCTCCGCGTTTCGCGCTATGGGCATGTTCGCTCTTGCTATCCTTCGGGGGGCTCCTCATTCCCCTCCTTCCTCCGCCCCCTAATCTCATCGTCATCCTCCTCATTCCCCCACCCCCCTTCCTCTTCCTCCTTCATCTCCCCAACCCTGTCCTCCATCTTCCCCCCTCCCATCCCCTTCCCCTCCTCCGCCTCGTCCTGCTCTCTCTTCCATCGCCTTCTGATTATTCCCCCTCCCTCCAATATCGGCCTCCTCCCACTCCTTGTTCTGGTTGCGCCTGTGGGGGGGGGGGGCCCGTCGGCCGCCGCCCGTCGCCTTGCCGCCTCAGGCGATCGTCGCCAGGAAGGGCGCCGAGAAGAGCAAGCAGGCGCGGGAGTGGCGCTTCGTGCGCGACAAGGTGCGCACCTTCTTGTCCAACAAGAAGTTGCCAGATGCCGTGGCCATGGTGGCGGCGAACTGGCTCACCGAGCTCGGGATGCCCGTGGGCGAGTACGGCATCAAGATGGACTATGAGGCCGTGCCGCAGCTCCAGCCCAGCGCCATGACGTTTTCCTCTTTCGTTGAGCCTTTCGTGATCGTCAGGCCGCAGATGGTTGAGGACAGTCACCAGAACCAGATCCAGCGCTTCTGGGCGGGCGTCTTCAAGAACCAGATGAAGGACGTCGTGTCCAAGATGTGCGAGGTCCGCGACTTCATGAAGACCCACGGGATGGATACCAGTTGGGGGACCGTGCCGTTCACACCTGACTTCTCCTTCGACATCGCCGACTCCGAGGGCGCGCAGACGACGCTGCAGCCGTTGAAGGATCTGCGCATGGCGGTCTATTGCCGTAACACAGGCGAGTGGCAAAGCAACGCGCAGTCATTCCCGTGGGGCCACGCGCCAGTCTGGGTGCAACAGTTCGTGGGCATGTCGATCGTCGCTGTTGCTGACCCCGCCTGGGTTGCCGACCACGTCGACTACAACGGTTTCGTGGAGGCGGCCGACTCGAGTGCGCTCTACAAGGTCAAGACCTGTCTGCTTCGGGAGGGCAGCGTGTTGTTCGTGCCGATGGGGTTCGTTGCCTTCCTGGTGCCCATCCCTCCGAACGTCGACTGGGATTCGAAGAAGCCGAGCCTGAAGGATACTGCGAAGCCCTCCACAGAGGTCAAGCATTGCGCGTGCTTCGGCGTGTCTTTGTTCTTGGAGGACGGCGTCCTCGAGAAGACGTCGCCGCTGGCGCGCGCCGCTGCGTGCGCAGCGTGGGCCCAGGCGAAGACGTCCCAGCTGCCCAAGAGCATCCGCACGAGCACCGTGGTCGGCGAGTGGTTCGAGAAGTGCGGCGATGGCCTGAAGATGGAGAACATGGTGGATTGAGGTTCGGTGTGCCGATGGCGCTCGCCTCTGTGGCCCTCATCGTACATGGGCGCCGTGGTGGGCGTCTTGCTGTGGACCTCATCGTACATGGGGGCTGGGCGTCTTGGGGTGGACCTTATCGTGCGTGTGCGCGGTGGTGGGCCAGTCGCTTTGATACTGGCCGAGTGCGAGCACTCGCTGAATACCGTCGCCGTGGGAATGCATTGAGGACCGCAGCAGCCCTGCCTCTTGTGCGGCGAGGCGCCGCATCTCGACTTCGGCGCAGTGCCGCGCCTTTTTCGCGCCCAGGGGGGGGGCGACGACGGCGAACGGGACGAATAAGGAATGGCGGTGGGAGCGAGGAGGAGGATGAGGAGGTGGGGAGGGCGAGGAGGAGTAGGATGAGGAGAGACATCATCCAAGAGCTCCTGTCCCTTGTGCCCCCCCTGGCGCCCCTGCGCCACGATCGCGCCTTTCGTGGCCTTGCCGTCGAAGGCCGAGGCCCGCCGTGCCCGTTGCTTCGCCCGCCTGGGCGGCCGACGTCAGGTCGCCGCGCTCCCATCGTGCAAAATGGTGTTCCCTCGGGCGGTCGATCCACAGCGTGGGGCACAGCGCAGGACGTCATGCAACACGATCCTTCTCGGGGATGCGCCCTCCTGGCCGCCTTGTCCCACCCGACCGTTCCGTCCCATCCTTTCTTGTCGCAGTTCCTCTTGCTTTCGTTATTTCCTACCCTTCACCCGTACCTGCCATCTTCTCTCCTTCATCGTACGTTCGCCCTCGCGCTCTCGCCAGTGATGTTCATTGCCCCCCTCTGCTTCCCTCCGATCCGCCCCTCCCCTTCCCCCCCCAGAGTCCTTGCGCAATTTTGGCTCCACTTGGCAGTTGCGGTTGTTAGCATCGGCTTGTTCCGATGCGGCCTCTCCTCCTGGGAATCGGCGGCGGCCTTGCCCTGTGCGCCCGACTTGGTGGGAGCTGCATTCGCTCGCGCGTCGGGCGCAGTGACATAGCGAGGGGGCGCGCCCTCGCATGCGCGGTTTTTTCGTGCATCGGCTGACCGCAGTTCGACTTGCTGGTCTAGTGGCGCATTTGAGCATCGTGGCGCGAGCATGCGTTCACGATCGGCGCGCCAGCGCGCTCGCGCCTGGTCGGCGTTGGCTTCAGGCTTCGGGATTGATGTTCGCGCCGACGTTTCGTGCGGGGGACGTTTGCACGCGACCTCATTCAAGACTTGTTGTTGTTTCCCGTGCGCGCTTGGGTTGTAGCCCGCAGGTATACTCGCGTGCCGCGTTCCCTGTGCGGCTGATTGGACGCGGGTCTCGTGCCCGATTTCCGTCAGTTCGGTTCCTTCGCCCGCCGTGCTGGATTTTCGGTCCGCGCCGAAGCGGCTTCTGAGCGTTCGCGTGCCGCCGACCGCCGCTGTCGCTGATCTGGCGCCGCGTCTGCAGTTGGATTCAAGTGTGGTAGGCATGCTGCGAGTTGTCAAAAATATGCGATTTGGCCAGAAGCGGCGCGGGCGTCGCGACGCCGCCTTGGTTTGTCGCGCCGCCTTCGGGCGGCCTTCGCGCGAGATCCATTGGATGTGGATAGGCCACCCCAGCCCTCCTAGCCAGTCCTTCACATTCGGGGGGGGGGCCGCATAGAACAGCACAGGGCAGCGTGAGTGTGCGGGGTACCTGGCCGAGGCTTGTCTGGGGCGCACGGTGGTGTGAGCAGTCGCCCGCATGCCGAGGCGCCGCAGGGTCCGCGCGCACCAGGTCGGGGCCCACGGTGGCCGTGGCCAGGCGTCATGGTGGTGTGTGGGAGCCTTCTGCGTCCGAGGTGCTTTGTTCCCACTTTGCCCCAAGCAGTGCAAGCAATCGGGGCTTCCCTTTTCAATTAAGTGTCTGGCAGTGTATGGCAGTCTGCCTGTTCCCCGCCCGTGCCTACCATCCGTCCTCATGTCCTTAGCGTCACGTGTGATGTCTGCCAGTTCGAGACGCTTCGGCGCAAAGTTACCATGCTTCTCTGGCAACGCTCCCTCTTCAGATGTGTGAGGTATTCAGCGTCGCTGTGTCGGCGTCCGTGGATTCTGTTTTAAGAACGAACAGAGGCATCATCAGTTGGACGGTTCAGCCATGACTCGCCGGGCCCAAGCATACCCCAAACTTCGACGCAAGTCTCTTACAAAAACCCTCTTGCACCGAGTAAGGCCTGTTCAGATCAATGTGTCCGACCTTGCCTTCGCCTCCTTCTCCCCGCGCGTCCAACCCAGCAGAGCTGCTAGATGACCTCCCGTTTCGGGTCAAGCTCGGTACATTTTCTTTGTACATGTTCTCAAAAGTTCGCGGTCCAGTGGATGTGGCCCATTCTCGTTTTAGTTTCCTGCAGGGAGCGGCAGCTTGGAGGCAGGTGCCAAGATGTGTAAGGCATTTGCGTGAAACATCTCTGCGAACAAGGCATACGTGTGTACGTACTGCAGCACATACATTTCACGAAACAGCATGCGACACAGCTTGCACCGTACATGCGGGTATACGTATATATCAGAGTGAGGGGGCCGAACGGTCATTCATTGTCCCTGGGTGCTTGGCTGAATAGGGAATTCGTGGTGAGAATTCTGTTTGTTATGTTGAGCTTTCGCTCTTGAAGAATTATTATTGCTGATCCCCCCTCACCGGTGCATTCTGTTTTTTCTCAATCAAAGTGTGCCCCTCGACGCTCGTACCCTGTTTTTTGACAGGGGAAGTCTTGATGCTCAAACTGCGCCCTTGGCCCCCGGGTTACCAACAACAGAGGCTCCCGCTGAAGACTTCTTCACAAGTTAGCCATGACCCCCGCTCCCGCCCGAGACTTCCTCGCATTTTATTCAGGAATCGCGCTCTCGCTTGGGACTTCTCTACAATGTATGCAGGAATCGCTTTCCCGGCGATCTGGAGTCGCGCTCTCGCTGGAGACGCGCTTGCAATTTACTGAAGAATAGCGCCCTTGCGTTGGAATTTCATGCAATTTGCTCCAGCGCCGCGCTCCCGACACCCAGGCACCCAGGAATCGCGCCCGTTGTGGTCCCATGTGCATGCCCTTCGTGGCCCCGCTGTCGCCGCTTGTGGCCCCCTCACTGTCCTACGTGGCCCAGTTGCTACCCTCAGTGGCCCCATCGTTGCCTTCTGTGGCCCCGCATTATCTGCCCTTCGTGGCCCCCGCTCGTTCGCGCTCTTCGTGGCCCCATACGCATCCCCTTCGTGTCCCCGCTGTCGCCCTTCGTGGCCTAATTCGTGTCCTTCGTGGCCCTGCTGTCGTTCTCTCTCGCTCTCGCTTTCGCTCGTCGTCGCCGTTGTCGTCGTCGTCGTCGCCGTCATCGACGTCGTCGTCGTCTTCGTCGTCGTCGTGGTGGTCGGTCCCCTGTCCGTCCCTCTTGGGGTCGGGTCGACGGTCCGCGGCCGCCCCGCCGATCAGCGCTGCCGCTGGCCAGCCCGACGGTCCGCGGCCGCCCCGCCGCTTGCCGCGGCCCGGCCTGCAGGGAAGAAAGGTATATCCCCCAAAAGGGTTTCGGTCGAAGGCGAAGAGGGCGGGTATCGAGGGTTTGGGAAATACGCGTTATTGGACACTCGAGCAGATAAGGGCGAACAGTCTCAAAATGATTGTTGTTGTTGTTGCTGTTGCTGGTGTTGTTGTTGTTTGTTGTCGTCGTCCCACCCGCGACCCCCCCGCGACCCAACCCGGAATCCCCCCGCGACCCACCCCGCGACCCACCCCCCCGCGACCCACCCTCAAGGGAGGGAAAACCACCCGGACCCGACAATTGACGTTTACTAAACGGCCTTGGGCGTTTACTAAACAACCCTACCCTGTTCGATTCATTCCCTGTGTGCGTTTACTAAACGACTTCGCTTGTCGGGGTGATTATTATGGGGTGGATTTTCTGTCCTCTACGCCCGCGACCCACCCGCGACCCAACAGCGACCCACCCGCGACCCACCCGCGACCCACCCGCGACCCCCGCGACCTACCCACATTGTCTTAACGAAAAATATGCGCTTGCGGCGGGCTCGTTGTATAAGTTGTCAAACGTTGGCGCCTGCGGCGGGCTTCTCCAGAGTCTCGCAAATTGCCGACGTTCCCACCGCTCCCTCACTCTTATCCGCATCTGCGGGGTGCTACGTGTGTATATATATATAGAGAGAGAGAGAGAGAGAGAGAACAAAAAAAAGAGAGAGAGAGAGAGAGAGAGATAGAGAACAAAAACGAACAATAGAGAAAGAGAGAGAGAACAAACAAAAACAGAGAGACTGCATCACATTGGCTGCAGCCTCATACTGCGCAGCATAAATTGCGTCTGATACATGCGTTTCCCAGTGGAGCTTGCACCGCGTAACTTGCACTGCATAAGTTGCACAACCCTGGTTGCACCACATCTATCAGATATTGCATCTCACACTTTGCACCAATAATGCTGGACAGCCGTAGTTGCAATACATACGTTGCAGCACGTAGGTTGGACAGACACAGCCTTCAGCACACATTGCGCACATCGAGAATGCAAGAATCCACAGTTTCGGGTCCGCGCTGGCGAACACTCCTCCATCCTGAGCCTCCAGGAGGCGTTCCGTCGCAACGGCTGGGTTTCACTCGGCGTTTGTGTTGGGGTCCACCCTGAGAGAGTTCTGGGGGCCAGCTTGACCAGGGTCGCCATGAAGATCTGCACGCACGAAATGGGTACTGAAAGAATGGGTACACTGCCCAACAGCGGATCTTGTTCATTCTGAACAGGATTCGCTGTCCACGCCGCCGCGGCCTGTGTCCATTCGAGACAGGAGGCCGCCTGCCCAACAGCGGCCGCTGTTGGTTTGGGACAACATTTGCTGTTGGGCACAGTACCCATTTTTTCGGTACCCATTTCGGGCGTCCAAAGAAGAGAGGGTGTCGTGCGGTTGTTCGCCGTCTTCGTCCCCCCAGGACCCTCGTCGGGCCATGCGCAGGAGCGACGAAAATCGGCTCCGAGGAAGGCCCCGGCGTCCGGGACCCGTGCCCTCCAGAACCCTTCCGGCGGACGGCAACGGGGGGGGGGCCATGCACGGGGGGGGCACCGAGGATGGCAGGGACGTGGCTGTGAAGGGCTCCTTCAAAAATATGGCTCCGAGCGTGCCACGGCGGGTTGAAGAGGTGCAGGCAAGGCGCCCGTTTCTTCGAATCACCTTTTATTCTTGGCATCGCTCGGACGTGTGCATTTTTCCTTCGGCGAGGGCCATCGAGGAGCATCCTTGACCATTCGGCGAGCAAGCCACGCACGAAGCCGAAAAACGCAGAAGGAATGGACGTCCGAGCGATGGCGAGGTATTGCCCCTCGTTCCCGATGGGTCGGGAAACATAGAAAAAACACATGTGGAACCCTTACCCCCCCCAACCCGAAATTCGGGTCTTCGGGTTGGGTTGGGGTGGTCTGGTAGGTAGTCAGTTTCTTCGCATCACCTTTATATTGCCCCTCGTTCCCGTGCGCCCCTCCATCGAGGAGCATCCTTGATCATTTGGCGAAAAAGCCACGCACGAAGCCGAAAAACGCTGAAGGAATGGACGTCCGAGCGATGGCGAGGTATTGCCCCTCGTTCCCGATGGGTCGGGAAACATAGAAAAAACACATGTGGAACCCTTACCCCCCCCAACCCGAAATTCGGGTCTTCGGGTTGGGTTGGGGTGGTCTGGTAGGTAGTCAGTTTCTTCGCATCACCTTTATATTGCCCCTCGTTCCCGGGCGCCCCCTCCCATCGGGAGCATACGACATGCTATTGGGCGAAAAAGCCACGCACGAAGTCCGAAAATCTCTGAAGGAATGGACGTCCGAGCGATGGCGAGGTATTGCCCCTCGTACCCGATGGGTCCGGGAAACAAGAAAAACACATTGGAACCCTTAAACCCCCCCCCAACCCGAAATTCGGGTCTTCCCTTCGGTGGGTTGGGTGGTCTGGTAGGGTAGTCAGTTTCTACGCATCACACTTTATATTGCCCCTTCGTCCCGGCGCCCCTCCATCGAGGAGCATCCTGATCATTTGGCGAAAAAGCCCACGCAGAAGCCCGAAAAACACACAGGGAATGGATTCCGAGCGATGGCGAGGTATTGCCCTACGTTCCCGATGGTCGGGAAACCATAGAAAAAACCACATGTGGAACCCTACCCCCCCAACCCGTAAATCGGGTCTTCGGGTTGGGTTGAGTTGTCTGGTAGTAGACAGAATTCACGAATCACCTTGATCTGCCCCTCGTTTCCCAGGCGCCCCTCCATCGAGGAAAACACACCTTGATCATTTGGCGAAAAAGCCACGCACGAAGCCGAAACACGCTGAAGGAATGGACGTCCGAGCGATGGCGAGGTGTTGCCCCTCGTTCCCGATGGGTCGGGAAACATAGAAAAAACACATGTGGAACCCTTACCTCCCCCAACCCGAAATTCGGGTCTTCGGGTTGGGTTGGGGTGGTCTGGTAGGTAGTCAGTTTCTTCGCATCACCTTCATATTGCCCCTCGTTCCTGGGCGCCCCTCCATCGAGGAGCATCCTTGATCATTTGGCGAAAAAGCCACGCACGACGCCGAAAAACGCTGAAGGAATGGACGTCCGAGCGATGGCGAGGTATTGCCCCTCGTTCCCGATGGGTCGGGAAACATAGAAAAAACACATGTGGACATCCCTTACCCCCCCCCCAACCCGAAATTCGGTCTTCGGGGTGGGTTGGGGTGGTCTGGTAGTAGTCATTTCTTCGCAACACACCTTTATATTGCCCCCTGTTCCGGGCGCCCCTCCATTCGAGGAGCATCCTTGATCATTGGCGAAAAAGCCAACGCACGACGCCGAAAAAACGCTGAAGGCACCCACGTCCCGGAGCGATGCGAGAGGGTCGCTTCGGATCCCGATGGTGCCGGGAAAACTAGAAAAACCAACACATGTGGAACCATAAACCCCCCTCCTACCCCACCCCCAAACCCGAAATTCGGGTCTTTCGGTTGGGGGGGTGGGTCTGTAGGTTCGTCAGTATCATCGCATCACCTTAAATTGCCCTCGTTCCCCAGGGCGCCCCTCCATCGAGGAGCTCCTAGATCATTTGGCGAAAAAGCCACGCACGAAGCGAAAAAACTCTGAAGGATGGACGTCCGAGCGATGGCGAGGTATTGCCCCTCGTTCCCAGAAGGTCGGAAACAAGTAGAAAAAACACATGTGGAAACCCTTACCCCACCCCCCCCCCCCTCCAACCCGAAATTCGGGTTCTCGGGTGGGTTTGGGTGGTCCTGGTAGGTGTCAGTTTCTCGCAATCACCTTTATAATTGCCCCCTCGTTCCCCGGGCGCCCCACCATCGAGGAGCATCCTTGATCATTTGGGCCGAAAAAGCCACCACGAAGCCGAAAAACGCTGAAGGAATGGACGTCCGAGCGATGGCGAGGTTTTGCCCCTCGTTCCCGATGGGTCGGGAAACATAGAAAAAACACATGTGGAACCCTTACCCCCCCCCCCAACCCGAAATTCGGGTCTTCGGGTTGGGTTGGGGTGGTCTGGTAGGTAGTCAGTTTCTTCGCATCACCTTTATATTGCCCCTCGTTCCCGGGCGCCCCTCCAACGAGGAGCATCCTTGATCATTTGGCGAAAAAGCCACGCACGAAGCCGAAAAACGCTGAAGGAATGGACGTCCGAGCGATGGCGAGGTTTTGCCCCTCGTTCCCGATGGGTCGGGAAACATAGAAAAAACACATGTGGAACCCTTAAAAAACCCCCCCCCCCACCCCCGAAATTTCGGGGTCTTCGTTGGGTTGGGGTGGTCTGAAGGTAGTCAGTTTTTCAACGTCATTCACCTTTATATTGCCCCTGCGTTCCCAGGCGCCCCCCATCGAGGACATCCTTGATCATGTTGGCAAAAAGCCACGCACGAAGCCGAAAAAAACGCTGAAGGAATGGACGTCCGAAGCGATGGCGAGGGTATTGCCCCTCGTTTCCCGATGGGTCGGGAGAAACATAGAAAAAACCCATGTGGACCTTACCCCCCCCCAACCCAAATTCGGTCTTCGGGTTGGTTGGGGTGGTCTGGTAGGTAGTCAGTTTCTTCGCATCACCTTTATATTGCCCCTCGTTCCCGGGCGCCCCTCCATCGAGGAGCATCCTTGATCATTTGGCGAAAAAGCCACGCACGAAGCCGAAAAACGCTGAAGGAATGGACGTCCGAGCGATGGCGAGGTATTGCCCCTCGTTCCCGATGGGTCGGGAAACATAGAAAAAACACATGTGGAACCCTTACCCCCCCCCCCCAACCCGAAATTCGGGTCTTCGGGTTGGGTTGGGGTGGTCTGGTAGGTAGTCAGTTTCTTCGCATCACCTTTATATTGCCCCTCGTTCCCGGGCGCCCCTCCATCGAGGAGCATCCTTGATCATTTGGCGAAAAAGCCACGCACGAAGCCGAAAAACGCTGAAGGAATGGACGTCCGAGCGATGGCGAGGTATTGCCCCTCGTTCCCGATGGTCGGGAAACATAGAAAAAACACATGTGGAACCCTTACCCCCCCCCCCAACCCGAAATTCGGGTCTTCGGGTTGGGTTGGGGTGGTCTGGTAGGTAGTCAGTTTCTTCGCATCACCTTTATATTGCCCCTCGTTCCCGGGCGCCCCTCCATCGAGGAGCATCCTTGATCATTTGGCGAAAAAGCCACGCACGAAGCCGAAAAACGCTGAAGGAATGGACGTCCGAGCGATGGCGAGGTATTGCCCCTCGTTCCCGATGGGTCGGGAAACATAGAAAAAACACATGTGGAACCCTTACCCCCCCCCCAACCCGAAATTCGGGTCTTCGGGTTGGGTTGGGGTGGTCTGGTAGGTAGTCAGTTTCTTCGCATCACCTTTATATTGCCACTCGTTCCCGGGCGCCCCTCCATCGAGGAGCATGCTTGATCATTTGGCGAAAAAGCCACGCACGAATCACGAAGCCGAAAAACGCTGAAGGAATGGACGTCCGAGCGATGGCGAGGTATTGCCCCTCGTTCCCGATCCCTCTCTCCTTCCTGCCGCAGGTGCTGTCGGCGGCGTGCCTGCACCCCCGCCTCGCGGCGAACCTGGTGCAGGTTGCGGAGGCCGCGGCCGCCCACGCGCTCTTCTCCACCCTGGGGCCACGGGCCTCCCGAAGGGGATGCGAGCAGATGCGGTCGAAGGAGCGCGCCGCATCGGCGAGGCGGCTCAGCGTGGAGCCCTCGTTTCGTCGTCGATGTGTCGCCGACGTCGCCGATGCATCGGCGATGCGGCGCGGTCCTCCGACCCCAGTGGCTCAGACACCCTCTGGGAGGCCTCCAGAGGAAAGACTCGAGAGTCAGGGCCACCTTCATCGCCGACGATGGCAGTGGTTCCTCTACTGCTGGAGCGGGGGGGGAAAAGGCGTGGAACGGAGAGTGGACAACGTTCTACGACGCAAGGGACGCCGATGACGGCTGGACTGCAGCTGACTTAGGCAGGAATGTTGCGGTCTCGGAGATCCAGTTTTTGGCCCGGCCCGGCTATGCGCATCGCATGACTGGCGGGAGATTCGAGGCGACGAATGACATCACATCGGACGTATGGGACGTGTTGCACACAATCACCACGCAACCCGCGGACAGCCCCACCATCAATTCTGTCGTTCTGAGAGCTGGGCCATCCTTCCGGTACATCCGTTATTGCAGCCCCTCTGGCGGTCATTGCAACATCGCGTGCGTCGATGTTTTCGGTCAGGTGGAGCCCACGTTGGCGTGGGCGGCGTTGGTGAATGTGGTGTGGGCATCTCAGCAGTGTTACTGGTCTAGGCCGCGGTGGCGAGGTGTAAACTTCGGTGGGTGGCTGCTGCTAGAGCCTGGGCCGAGCTGGCGACTCTGGGCGGAGGCCGGGTCTCCAGAGGGCGTGGAGGACGAGTACGGCCTCTGCTTGCACCTTCGGGCCACTGGGCGCCTGGGCATAATAGAGGAACACCGCAGGACGTGGATGACGGAGGAGACGTTCAGGCGTCTGGCTCTGCGAGGCCTCAACGCCGTGCGCATCCCCTTCGGCTACTGGATCGTGACTGGGCCCACCTGCGGAGAGCCCTTCGTTGGGCCGGGCCTCGAGCACCTCGACCGGGCGGTCGACCTCGCCGAGCGCTTCGGCTTCCAGGCGAGCGATGGAAGAACACGGGATCAGCTGCACGGACAATCGCGCGCGCAAGTTGCCCGCGCAAGGCAGCGCGGAAGCGCCCCCTCTCCTCCACACGGTGCGCACCGCGTTGGCGGCCCGCGCAAGCCGCAGCACAGGGTCGTTGTGTTCTTCACGCTGGCGCCTTGGATGACCCCCGTTTGCACTGACCCCCGTCTCGAGGCTCCTGCTCCTCCTCCTCCGCCTCCTCCTCCTCCCCCTCCTCCTGCTCCTCTCCCTCCTGCTCCTCCTCCTCCTCCTCCTCCTCCTCCTCCTCCTCCTCCTCCTCCTCCTCCTCCTCCTCATCATCATCCCCCCCCCCCCCAAGTCGCTTAGGTGGTGCTGGACCTCCACGGCAACCCGGGCGGCGAGTCCGGCGCCGTGCCCACCGGCCGGCGCAACCCACGGTGGACCGAGGCCGACTGGCGGCGCGAGGAGGCGCTGCAGGTCCTGGCCGCGGTCGCGGGCCGCTTCGCGGGCCGGCGGTGCGTGGCGGGGATCCAGGTGGCAGGCCAGCCACACCGTCCGCGCACGGGTGCGTTTTGAGTAGTCTGCGGACATGTTTTTTTTTTCAAGAATCGTATGCACTCTGGCGCGCGCGGGTGGTGCAATTTCTCGTAGTCTACGACCATGTATAATAAGAATCCCATGTAATAGAAATCCCATGTAATAAGAACCTCCCTGTATTCCTTCCCCCCCTGGGGAGCCCATCGATTTCGACACCCCTCTCGAGAGATCGTCGACGCGATAGGTTCCCCAAGGGGGGTAAGAACCACAGCTCCCCCGGTTATGGCTGGTCGGGGTGGCCAGGAGCACGTCCGTTCTGCTGCAGTCAACCCGCACAGGAAGGATGGGCAGCCTTCCCAAGGGTGCCCTTTGCACCCTTTCCGCATCGGCTCCTCGGTCCCTCATTGGCCACTTCCGTTGGCCGCGCCCCGCTCGAGAAGCTTCAAAGTGGGCGTCCAAGGCCCTTGCATCCTAATCGCGTATCCTTATGATAAGGGCCGACTGTATGCTACGTTTGTCCACCACTTAGTGGGAGATGGCGGCCCACTTATTTGTGTGTGTGTGTGCGTTCAACACCCGTCGCCTGGAGAGCTGGCTGGAAAGTTCTTCACGCTTCGCGCATCCCCACTGGCCCATTCACAAAAGCCCTGCCCATGAGAGTTGACAAGAAAAGGACGAAGAGACAAATCTAGTGAAACAAAAGCGGTCAACGAGGGTGAACAGAGAGATCTCTGGGAGCAAAGGGGGTGGCCTTGGAGGGCCTCTTCGGGCAATCCTTGGGGCCTGCGCGGGGGCGAGGGGAGGAGGAGGAGGAGGAGGAGGAGGAGGAGGAGGAGGAGGAGGACGAGGTGGAGGAGGAGGAGGAGGAGGAAGACGACGACCACCACCACCATCACCACCACCACAACGGCAAGGAAGAGGAGGATAAGGAAAAGGCAGCCGACCAGTGTAAACCCAAGAGTCATCAACGATGTTGGAATGAACCCTCCCTCCAAGCTCCCTCTTCGTAGGCCCCTACAACAGTTCATTTCCATTGAAGGATCTGCCCCGTTGGATAACAACCGTTTGAAGATCCTGATGCGTGCCAAAACATTGTTCTCGGGATTTCAACGCCACCTATCAACCTGACTGCTGCGTCTTGACGATCCGGAATCGTGCCAGAACGCCATGTTTGGAATTTCAATACCGCGAACCAACATGCGCCCGCACAATCCTGAATCCTCTAAAAACACCATGTCTGGTACTTTGATCATGGGAATACGTGAAACTCTTGCAATGGTTCAAAGTGAATGGCGCTAAGGCGAGAGCCACATTTTGAAAAGGAACCGCCCTGAATCCGTGAAGCTCTTGCATTGTTTGACGAATGTGCGCTACAAGTGAGAGCCACATGTCGAAAACGACCCGCCCTCAATTCGTGAAGCCCTGGAAGTGTTTAAGACGAATGCGCGCGGCGCTAAGGCGAGAGCCACATTTTGAAAGGTACCGCCCTCAATCCGTGAAGCCCTTGCAAATTCTCAAAGCGAATGTGCGCGGGGCTAGTGCGAGAGCCGCATTTTGAAAAGGAGCCGCCCTCAATCCGTGAAGCTCTTGCAAAGTTTGAAAACGAATGTGCGCGGCGCTAAGGCGAGAGCTACATTTTTAAAACGACCCGCCCTCAATCCGTGAAGCTCCTGCAAAGTATGAAAACGAATGTGCGCGGCGCTGATGCGAGAGCCGCATTTTGAAAGCGACCCGCCCTCCATCTGTGAAACTGCTGTCACTTTTTGGTGAGGAAGTCTCAGGCGAAACGCCCGGCCCGCCCTAAAAACTTGCCTCGGGGTGAGAGAGGGAGAAGTTCTCCATAAGGAGAAGGAATTGAGGGCAAGGGCGAAGAGGAGGAGGAGGAGGTGAAGGACAACGAGGACACGAACAGAGCCGTCAAAATCGCCTCTTGGAGCCCTCTCGGGACTCTTTGGGGGATCTTGGGTTTCTCTTGTCGTCCTCTTTTGCGGGGTTTTGGGGCCATCCTGCGGCCCTCTTGGAGCCATCTTGGGGGTCCCTTGGGTGCCCTGGAGGACCGCCCTGGGTCATCCTGGGGGCCATCGATCGAAAGAGGGGCGGTCCCAATCTGCCTTGCCCCCCTGGGTCCATCAACATCGACTCTTGGGGCGCTCTTTGACCGATCTCATGCGCTCTTGGCACCATCTGGGGGCCCTCTTTGGCATCTCTTGGGCCATCTTGCTGCCATCTTGAGGCTTCAAAAGCGCATCGGAAGCGAACAGGCGAGAAGCGAACAGGCGAACAGGATGTCGAAAGGCTTTGGCATCGTTGGGGGGGGTCCTGAGGAGGCTCAGAGAGCACTTGGATCCGTCTTCTGGCCCTCGTCGGGCCTCTTGAAGGCATGTCGGAAGCTATGTTGAAGCATCTTCGGTTATCTTGAGCCGCCTTGGAGGCAATCTTGGAGCATCGGAGGCCCTCTTGGAGTCGTCTTGGGCGCCCTAACAGATCACGAAACCTCAAAAGACATCCTGGGAGGGGGTAGACCTCCCCGAAGGGAGGATACTTCTAGAAGAGGAAAGAAAGAACTTGCTAGGCCACCTTTGCCCAAAGGACAGGTGCGAAAATGCACTATACGTTGCCCTGTGGTGCTTCTGCGAAGGCCCACGGGACAGGGCTCAGATACTTTAGTAGCGTATATACGCGCGGTTCCCACAGGTGGCCAACGAGCCTTCGCCCAAGAACAGCATGCGCGCCCTCTGCGACTGGTTCGAGAAAGCCATTGGTCAGGGGAAGAAGAGGTACCGATACCGATGCTGCTACACTTCTCTTGCTTTTGGCCTTTTTGGGGCTGGGAGGCCCACGTCGCCATAGTTGGATTATTTCTGAGAGTCTGGTCAGAACGCACTTCTGGAGAGGTCCAGAGAGTAGCGATATCGGTGCCTCTTTGCATCCACAACAGGTGTTATAAGGGCCGCTGGCATGGCAGCGGACCAGGCCGCGGTCGTGCTGCCGATCTACTTTCACGACCGCCTGGAGGCGTTCGCGTCGACGTGGGCGGCCCGCGGCAACTTCCTGCGCTTCGAGCACGTGGTTCTGGACCTGCACTACTTTCACTGCTTCGGCGCAGGGTGGGAGCGCCTGTGCCACGAGGGCCACCTGGCCGTAGCGGACAGGCATGGCAGCGTGCTGCGCTCGCTGCCAGGCGCAGTTGTCGGGGAATGGTCCCTGGCGCGCCCGGCGGAGCTTCCTGTCGCTGACGGCATGGAGCGTCGGTTCGCAGAGAGGCAGCTGCGCGCGTACGACGCCGCATCGCACGGCTGGTTCTTCTGGAACTATCCACCTGCCTGCGGCAACATCGAAACGTAGGCGAGGAGGGAGGAGGGAGGAGGAGGAGGAGGAGGAGGAGGAGGAGGAGGAGGAGGAGGAGGAGGAGGAGGAGGAGGAGGAGGAGAAGGGAGGAGGAGAAGGGAGAGAGAGGAGGAGGAGGAGGAGGAGGAGGAGGAGCATCGAAACGTAGGCAGGGCCGTTCCGCAGAGCTCACCCGAGCAGGCGCGGCAGAACCACTGCCCTATACGGGGCCTCCGCGGGCCCCCCCACGGCGCCGAGCGCGAGGGCTCCGCCTCTCCCGAAAAAACACCGCGTATAGCCCACCTGGGCCATCTCGGAGGCGGCGCTTCGAGGTGCCGGTGCGGCGCGGCAGCGGCGCTGCTTGGCCGTCGGGTTGCTTCTCCGGGGCCTCTCGGAGGTCTCTCGGGCTCCTCTTCGTCCTCCTCCCCCTCCTTTCTCATCATTGCTCCTCCTCGTCCCCCTCCTCGCTCCTCTTTGCTCCGTCTCCTCCTCCTCCTCCTCCCTCCTCCTCCTCCTTCTCCTCCTTCTCCTCCTCCTCCTCCTCCTCCTCCTCCTCCTCCTCCTCCTCTTCGTCTCGCTAACGCAAGAACGGGAAGCTCAGCACTGAATTCAGAGAGCTCCTGATGAATTGCGCGCCCATCAGCATGAGGACGGAGTGTCACTCTTTTGCAATCTTGCAGTCGTATCCCGTGCTGCCATGGTTCGAGCCGCGGTGCACTCAGAAGTGTTTCGGCAACTCTGTCATGAATTGCAGCGTCGGCATGATAATGTTGACTGTGCAATCACGTCTCCCTGGCCTACAAGCATTCATCGTTTTACATATGTTTCACACCCCCCGAGAATATCGGTCCCAGTTCGGGCCCCAGACATCTCCAACAGAAAGCTGACCCGGAAGATCTCATCACCATCAACCAGTTGGCCTTTCGGAGTGCGGCTTCGGCTCGCTCGCTTCTGGTGCTTCCCTGGTCGAATAGTTGACATGTGTTCTGTCACATGCAGCAACCAGCCTGAGGATGGCCTGTGGTAGGGGACGAGGAGGGGGAGGAGGGGGAGGAGAAGGAGGAGGAGGAGGAGGATGGCATGTGGTAGGGGACGAACCTGTGCGGGGGCCGGTGCCGGCCTCCCCCGTGGGGCGCTCCCACGGCGGCCTGCTGGGGCTCCAGGGCCCGCCAGGGCACTCCTGCGGCCTCGGGGGCAGCCCCGTGCCGGTAAAAGTTTGGGAAGGCGAGCGAGCGTTATTCGGCGGTGAGCCCAGGGGGGGAATGCAGAGGGGGCGGGCTTTCTCAGAAGGCTCGGAAGGCCTCTGGCCTTCTGAGAAGTGCTCTGAGCCTGCTCCAACGACATAAGCGGCTTCTCATGCTCAGAGGGCCGGAGAGCTTCTGCTGAGAAGCCCGCCGCTTTCTGAGAAGGCTTGCTCCACTCACGCCCCCCCCCAGGCGCGCCACCTAGATTGGCCTGTCAGGGACCTGCTGGAGCGCTCCATGGGTGGGTGCCTCCTGGGATCATCGTGGACGCCAAGAAACAGACAAAAACACACACACAGTGTGTGTGTGCACACACAAACACACACATACACACACACACAAACAAAAAAACACACAAACAAAACACACACACACACGCACACATACACACACACACACACTTACACACACACACACACTTGCACACACTTACACATTCACACACACGCACGCACGCACGCACGCACGCACGCACGCACGCACGCACGCACGCACGCACGCACACACACACACACGCACACACACACACACACACACACACACTGAGCGCATGTTGTGTCCACAGTGTGTTGTATTTGTTTGTTTGTTTGTTCTGTGTGTGTGGCTTGCTTGTGTGTGGTCTCTGTGTGTTTGTGCGTGTGTTTGTATTTGTTTTCCAAATAGGCTTGCCCTGTTAGGAGTTGTTAATCAAACCCTATCATTGGTCCGTTGCCCCCCTAATTCCGATGCCCCCTAATTCCTATAGCTATGCCTATGCCTATGCCTATGCGTCCATCCTAACTCTGATCCCTACGCCTACTCCTACGCCTATGCCTATGCCTATGCCTATGCCTATGCCTATGCCTATGCTCGCTTGCGCTTGCTTGCTTCCGCTTGCTTGATTGCGCTTGCTTGATTTTGCTCCTCCCGTCCTCCTCCCGTCCTGCTCCCGTCCTCCTTTCGTCCTCCTCCCATCCTCCTCTCGTCCTCCTCCTGTCCTCCTATCTACCTGGAGTCAACGCTGGCTTACACGGTTGTGTGTGTATGTGTTTTGTGTTTGTGTGCGTACTGCGTGTATGTTTGTGTGTGTGTTTTCTACTGTGTGTTTTTCTGTCTCTCGTGCAACCCTCTCGGGGCGCCTGTGCAATGTCGGGACTGGCCAAGTGGACAGGTGGCGCCGTCTCGAGGTCTGCTGGGTCGTCTTCGGGGCTCCTCGGGCGGCCAGTGGGCCGAGCCGGGCGCCCGGCGGAGGCACGATGCAGGGCGAGCTCCGCAGGCGACCCCCCGCTCGGCTGGCGAGTGCGCCGTGGCCGCACAGCTGCGTCTCTCGAGGCGGCTTGCGGCTGTCGATCCCGGTCGGTTTCGGTTCCGCGGTCGATCTCGGCCGGTTCTCGGTTGTGCGGTTGCCGTGGACGGCCCCGAGAGCCAAAGAAGCCTTCCACGACAGTTGCCAGGCAGCCTGCAGGAGGGGAAAAAATCACACTCGCAAGCAAAGCAACTGATCGGCGATTCCCCGGAGAATGTGGAGCATCTGGGAAGGGGAGGGGAAGACGAGCATCCAGGAAATATGGAAAATACAACGAACATTTGGATTCGTGCTTTTTTCATCGAGCACCCAATGCCCCCTAACCCTGATAAGACGATGAAGACGTGGCCTCATTGAGGTCCCCGTCTTCGCATTAGGGATAGTACACCTTGGGCGGCTTGGCCTCGTACATCTGCAGAAAAAAAGTTCCCCCCTATCCCTGATGCTCCTGGCCCTCCTAACTCATGTCTCCTCCCCAAGGATTAAGAGGCACGTCTTTGGCCAAACAGATGGATTCGTCCATCCCGAGACGCCTCAGCGTGTTGCTGGCACCGTGGCGGACTGCGACGCCAGCGACCAGTGGAGCATGAGCGCCTGCCTGGAGAGGCCCGGCGGCGCGCGCCAAGCGGGGTGTAGCTCGAGGGGGGCGGCCTCCTCGGGGGCCCCCGGGGGCCTCTCGGGGGAGGCGGGGGGCCGCGCCTCGGCATCGCTCGGAGGTGTGCACACCTGCTCCTCGGCGAGGGCCGTCGAGACGCATCTCGGGCCCTCCCGCGAAGAGTGCGCGCACGCAGTCGACAAGCTCGTGGGAACTGGGCGTCGGAGCGACGGCGAGATTCCCGGGGCCTCCCAGGTGGGGTCGGAGCAGATGGGGTCGGAGGATCGCGCCGCATCGCCGATGATCGGGGACGCGGCTCGATGCGGAGCCCGATTCTCCCCGCGCGGACGTCGCCGATGCGTCGTTGGCGTCGCCGATGCATCGCCGATGCATATGCGACGCATTGGCGACGCGGCGCGATCCTTTGACCCCATCTACTCCGACCCCATCTAGGAGGCCTCTAGGAGGAGGAGGAGGAGGAGGAGACGGAGGAGGAGATGGAGGAGGAGGAGGAACGTTGCGCGTTTAGCATGAAAGCAGAGCAGTCACAAAACAACGGAGAGGAGGAGGCTGAGGACGAGGAGGAGGAAGAGGATAAAGATGAGGAGGAGGAGGAGGAGGAGGAGGAGGAGGAGGAGCAAGAC